TTTTTTTTTTTTTACATAAATGTAAACAAGTGTAATACACGTTTTGTAGCATATTTAATAAATTGGGTTTAAGTACAACGCGTGGTGGCGCTGTAAGCTAAGGCTGCGGAGAAACAGACCTGCGGATGGTTACTGTTCTGGCAGTCATATACAGATCTAGCTAAGAGAAGAGGCTTTCTTAGTCTAAAATTGCATTGCGGTGAGAATTGATTCCCAGGACAGATTGCCTACGGACCCAAAACAGGCATCCGGACCTTAAAGGCTTTTTGTGTTGGAGAAATGGAGCTTGAAGAGGAGCGCTTTCCTAGACTAAGGCAAGTTCTGCTTCTCTTTGTTTTGCTGGCTCAGACCTACGCAGAGCAGAAAGGTTACACTGTAGCAGAAGAAACAGAGAGCGGTTCTTTTGTGGCCAATCTAGCAAAGGACATAGGGCTGGGGGTAAAAGAGCTGTCCTGGCGGAAGGCTCGGGTCATTTTTAACAATAACAAAAAACATTTTCAGCTGAACCTTCAGACCGGAGATTTGCAAGTAAATGAGAAACTGGATCGGGAAGAACTGTGTGGCCCCACTGAGCCTTGTGTGCTCCAATTCCAGGTGTTACTGGAAGAACCTCTGGAGGTTTACAGGTTTAAACTTTTGGTCACTGATGTAAATGACAATTCTCCTGTGTTCCCAGAAGCAGAAATGATTTTGAAAATCATGGAAAATACTCTTCCAGGAACTGTGTTTCCATTGAAAAATGCTCAAGATTTGGATGTAGGCATCAATAACATTCAAAACTACACCATCTACCCCAACTCCTACTTCCACGTTCTCACTCGCAATGGCAGTGAGGGCAGAAAATATCCGGAGCTGGTTCTGGACAAAGCCCTGGATCGTGAGGAGCAGGCAGAGCTCAGGTTAACTCTCATGGCAGTAGATGGTGGAGCTCCTCCGCAAAATGGTACTGCCCTGGTCCGCATTGATGTTTTAGACATTAATGACAACGCCCCTGAGTTTGTGCAGCCACTCTATCACGTGCAGATCCCAGAAAACAGCCCCCTCGGATCCCTTGTTGCCACTGTTTCCGCTAAAGATTTGGACATGGGAATAAATGGTGAAATAGTCTACTCATTTTTTTACGGTGATGAAGAGATTTCCAAGACATTTGCAGTTAATGAACTCACGGGAGAAATTAGAATAATTAGGAAATTAGATTTTGAAAAAATTATGTCATATGAAATGGATATTAAAGCCTCAGATGGGGCAGGTCTTTCTGGAAAATGCACTGTCATAATACACGTAGTAGATATTAATGACAACGCCCCAGAACTGACCGTGGCTTCATTTACAAGCCTGGTACCGGAAAATTCCCCTGAGACCACGGTAGCTCTTTTCAGTATTCAAGACCGAGATTCTGGGGAAAATGGAAGAATGGTTTGTTCCATTCAGGATGATATTCCGTTT